CAGGCAGCGAGATGTCTCTGTCATTTCTAGAGTTTTGGAAGTTGCTTACTTCTTGTTTACTTAGGTAATATTATATCCTTCTGGAGTCTTTGATGGAGTTAAAAAATAGATAGTTGAGTTTTCCTTTGTTATAATAAAAGATAAAATAGATATAAATATTGTAACTGTAATTCTTGCATGACAACTGTTTTGTTATATGTAATTTTGCTATGTTAAAGTGAAAGTCTTTCTTTTTTGTTTAAACAGAAAAAGGGGAAATGGTGTAGGAGGTCCTTCTGTATTTGTATTGTTTTCATTGGTTAAATAAAGAAACTGTCTTGGAATTTTGATAGGGCAGCCCTTAGGTTAGTGGAGTAGACAGAACAGAATGCTGGGAAGAAGGGAAGTATGGCAGACGCCATGAATCTCCAGCCTGAGATGGACATAGGTTAGAATCTTGCCAGTAAGCCACGTCACATGGTGATACACAGATTTAATAGAAATGGGTTAATTAAGATATGAGAGTTAGCCAATAAGAGGTTAGAGCTAATGGGCAAGACAGTAATTTAATTAATACAATTTCTGTGTGGTTATTTTGAGAGTAAGCTAGCTGGGCGGGACAAAAAGCAGGCCCTCCCTCCTACTATGGGAGGACCAAATGACAAGCACTTATTGAAGGCCATAGCTCAGGGCCACATGCTTCTTAAAACCCAGGGTCTTCTCAGGACACTTTACCCACATAAACACCTTGTGACACCAACAGCACTCCTCTATGACCATAAAGGGCTACTGCTGATCTAATTTAAGGAACTCCTAGGGAAAGCAAAGGCACTTTAAAAAAATGAATTTGCTGGGGAAATGGTTCAGTGGTTAAGAGCACATTTTGTTCTTAGAGAGGACCAGAGTTCAATTCCCAGCAACCACATCAGGCAGCTTACAACGGCCCGGAACTCCAGCTTCAGGGGGCTGCCAGCACTCTGAGCTCCCTGGGTACAGACACGTGTACAGACACATAAACAATACTTTCTTAAATGAAATCTCAAGACTTAACAGCCACAATAAGCTAAAAACACCATGGTCAAGCCAGAGGGGAATTAGCCCTGATTCTATAGTTCTCTATCTCAGCTCCTTTATCCAACACATCGCGTCTCTCCTTCAATGACACACGCTAAACAGCAAAGCATCTGAAGAGACAAAAGCAGCAACAGAACCAGACCCATTTATGGCAAGCATTTGGGAAAGTTCACACTACAAATGTTAAATAACTAATTACTATGCTGAGAGTTCTGACAAAAAAAAAATGGACATTGTACAAGACTGAGTCAAGGACATAGACTGGAAGCCTAGGGAGACAAAAGGAAATGCTGGAAACCAAAAGCCGTGTAGAAGAAATGGAGACACTTTAAGTGGGCTCACTAGTGGACTGAAACCTAGGCTGGGAAACACAGCTTAGTGGTAGAGCACTTACCTAGCACATCTGGGGCCCAGGGTTCAATTCCTAGCGCCACCTCAAGAAAATGCAGTCTATTGAACACAGATGGGGGAACTAAAGAAACCTTGAAAATGCACCAGCAGGGAATGCAGAGAGAAGGAGAGAATTAAAAACTGGAACAGAATATCTAAGGGCTGTGAGAGCGCTGAGTCCACGGCACAGTGGGAATGCCAGGTCAAGAAAGACAGGAAAGAGCCGAAGAAATATCACACGCAGTTACACGACTATAATTTCCAACACTGAAGAGGGGGCCATCACTGAGCAAGGGGATCAGGAGCTCAAGGTCAGCCTGGACTAAATGGTGAGTTTGATAAGACAGGGCTACACAAAATCCTGTCTAAATGACAGGAGCTATGGTGGTTTGAATAAAAAACAGCCCACATAGGCCCATAAGGAGTGGTGTTAGGAGGTGTGGTTTTGTTTAAGTAGGCATGGCTTTGCTGGAGGAAGTGTGTCACTAATGGGTGGACTCAGGCCTGGCCAGTGTGTCTGCTGTCTGCAGTGTCCTGCTGTCTGCAGATCCAGATGTAGAACTCTCACTTTCTTCTCCAGCACTGTGTCTACCTGAATGCCACCATGTCCCACCGTGATGATAATGAACTAAATAAACCTCTGAAACTGTAAGCAGGCTCCAATTAAATGTTTTCCTTTAGAAGAGTTGCCGTGGCCAGACAATGATAGTACACGCCTTGAAATCAGCACTCAGAGTCAAAGGCAAGCAGATTTCTGTGAGTTTGAAGCCAGCCTGGTCTACAGAGCTAATTTCAGGAGAGTTAGGGTTACACACACACACACACACACACACACACACCTATCTTGAAAAACAAACAATAAAGAGACCCTAACTAAGATAAGAGCACAGATGAGGACGCTCAGCTATGAAAGCCCTACACCTCAGAAAATTGTACGCAGACCACAGAAAACACAAGATCTTGGAAGTCCGAGGTGAGCTTGTGTTACCTGCACTTCGATGAGAATTCATAGGAGCTCTGCACAACTGTCCAGGCAAGGAGAGAATGAAATGAGGTGTTTCATGTTTAAAAGAAACCACCTTAGCCTAGAGCTCTGCATTTGGCAAAAACTATATTTCAGCTGCCAATGTTGGTTTAAATGTAAAACACAAACTTAGGGGACCGGAGGGAATCTAGGTAGTTCTGGCTTTGACAGGAGGGGAATCTAGGTAGTTCTGGCTTTGACAGGAGGGGAATCTAGGTGGCTCTGGCTTTGAGCTTTTTGTTACAACAATAACATGAAAAAGCTCTGTAAATGTTATTTCCAAGATTTTTTATAATAAAGTAAAAAAAAACTAATTTTGTATTTGTCATCTCTATTGTGTATTCCTATGATATACTCATTTTAAAATAAACTTGAAATTTGAAGAAAGAAGGTTAACAAGAGAATAAGGCAAGCCATTACGAGGGGAAAAAAACATACAAAACACATCTGATACTGGAATTATATCCGAAATATACATGTGGAATCCTTAAAACTCAGTAAGAAAGTAACTTGGTTTTAAAAACAGATAAAAGTCAGGAACAGAGAGATGGCTCTGCAGTTAAAAGCACACCAGCTGCTCTTGCAGAGGACCTGAGTTTGAGTCCCAGGCCCACACACAGTCTCATCAGCATCTTTAACTCCAGCTCCAGAGCCCATGCCCTCTTCTGGCCTCCATAGACAATAGGTACATATGGGCTGCACATATACGCATGCAGGCAAAACACTTACACACATAAAATAATCATTTTAAAAATGGATAAAATTTCCCCAAAATAAACCGTCTCATGTTAGCAACATTTTAGCAAATGAGAGGACAAGCATCTTCAGTGAATTATGAATTCAAGGCAGTGATACCACACACACATTTCAATGACTAAAGTTCAGAAGACAGACAACACTAACTGCTGACAATGATGGGGAAAACAGGACCTATTACATACTGCTGGTGGGATACAAACTGGTAACAAGACTTTGGAAAACGACAGCTTCTTTCGAAGCAATCTATGGTCTATCCATAAAGTTGCACTAAGACTTTTCACCCAGATTAACACTAAAACTGTATGGCCACACACACAAATGTACAAGAATGTATTCTCCTACACTTCGAGAGTTGAAAGCACCCAGGATCCATCAAGAGACGAATGGGTAGCCAGACTGTCATATGCCCAGGTAAATCCACACACTATGCTGTTGAGCATGAAAAGGCATGAAACAGACACAAAGGAATCAGTCTCAAAACAGGTTACATACTGTGTTTCCAACTCTTCATGTTCTGGAAAAGGCAACACTGGAAAAACAACGTGAAAGACCAATGCTCACCTAGAGCTGGAAAGGGAGGGGTGAGTAGCTGACACATAGGGATTTCGTGGACTATAAATCTATTCTGCATGAAGCTATAATGATGGAGAAATAATGTGCTTTTGGCAAAACTGTCATTTAGGACAAAGTGGACGCCAATGTGAACTATGAACTTTAATGTGTGAAATTATTGGTTCAATCATATGGCCAACAAGCCCACTAATGACAGAAGCTGGGTGGAGGTGCATGGAAAAATCCCTGTGCTTTCTGCCCCATTTTCTAAAAATGTCCAATTGCTGTGAAAATGAAACTTCTCAAGAAATTAAAAATAGGACTACCCTATGACCCTCCCATACCACTTCTGGGTATATGCTCAAGAAATCTAAGCACACAAAGATGCCTGAACCCATGCTTATTAAGGCATTATTCACAATAGCCAAATCATGGAGTCAGCATTGGTGCTTATCAACAGATCAAGTTTTACTCCGCCATAAAGAACAAATTTGTGAGCTGGGCAGTGGTGGCACATGCCTTTAATCCCAGCACTCGGGAGGCAGAGGCAGGCAGATCTCTGTGAGTTCGAGGCCAGCCTGGTCTACAAGAGCTAGTTCCAGGACAGGCTCCAAAGCTACAGAGAAACCCTGTCTCAAAAAAGAAAAAATTCACTTACAGGAAAATGAACCTGGAGGTCATTGTGTTAAACAAAATATTCACATTGTCTCTCATACGCAAAATCTAATTTCAAAAAAAAGACACAGAAGTATAAGGAAAAAGAAAGGGACTATTTGACTCCTGAGCCTTGTTCCTATAACAGGAACAAAAGGAGGTAATTGGCGGAGTATGAAATGCCATAATTAAATGCATTATTTTATACAATTAACATGCATTAATAAAAAGAGGGGAGGGAAGATGAACACACTTCACTACCCCTTCTCCAATTAATGAATATTGTAGTAATCTTGCTGACTTGTTCCAAAAATTAGACCAAAAATTGTCTCTAGAAGAAAATGTATGTCTGAAAGAACTGCGGCCAAATTGCTAATTAATGAAAACCACAGTCCACCCATAACAATTAAATATGAAATGGACAGCTATTAAAAGCTATCAGGCTTCCATTTGCAGTCTCAAGTCTCGGAGGGTGTATTACTTCCCAACCCACCGCTATCAGGGCAGTTGTGGGAACTATGAAGCTGAATGAGAAACACTTTAAATAAGAATTCATACTCCACAGAAGTAAGAATCTTTCAACTTTTATTTCTAGGATACATTCATCCGGAATCTTTGTTTCTTTACAATTTTCCCCCTAAGAGAAATGAATACAATAAAAATATAATCCAACTACCAGCAATGTTTGTAACCAGAAAGGAATCTAAAATCTCTGGTGTGATAATATAGGATATATTTTTTTAAAAAATATAAACTTCATACCAGAAATAAAGCCTGAATATTCTCTTTTGTTAAAAATATAATTTTCCTTCTTTGCTCTTCCACTTTATTCTAAGTCTGTATTTAAACCAGCAATGTTAACTCTTCTCGCAAAGGATTGGTCCAGCTTGTGCCCTGTTCTACAGTATGAGTCAACTAACAACTGCACAAGTCTTAGAAATGACATGCCACGGGGCTGTAGCAAGGCTGCAAGATACCCTAGTCACTGATTAAAAATTCCCATTAGCAAACTGAGGCCCATTTATCATTTATCCTGTCTATGAAATTAGAAAATGTATACAAAGGAATGTTTTGCAAAACGTAAGCTCAATGGAAAAGAAAGTACCAGTCTTTTGACTAGAAAGGTTGCTGGCTGGGACAGAGGTGGGAATACAGCTGTGACCCCCACACTTACTGGGGAGCCTGACTGCAAGGGTGTCAGAGTGTGGACTCAGGGGTGTCTCAGAGACTGGCTGCTGTGCAGTGAGTGCCATGGGACTGTTTTTCTCAACTAAGAAAAAGACCAAGGAGCAGAGCAATGGCTCTCTAGCTCAGAGATTGACACCACATCGAGTGGTCAAGCCATTCCAGCCATCTGAGGATGGGAAATCCAAGTCGGATGGTTTTTCCCTGCTTCTTACTGGTTTCTCAGCAAAGCCTCAGTAGTTGGCAGGTAATTCATTTCATAATAGGCTTAGAAAGGCAACATAAATGGCCTGAGGGTGGGTACCTTAATTTAAGAAGGTAACAGAAAGTTTAATTATAAACACCGGTAATACACTCAAGCCAGAGTGGACCCCTCAACCTCCACGTAAACAGCACCATGCACAGTAACTTCTGCAGTACGCTCTGAAGAGCACAGCAAACCAAGCACAGGGTTAAGAGTGCACTGGCAATCCACGCCAATGAGGGCCGCCATCTTGTCTTCTAGGAAGGACAGAAGGCACAGAAAGAGGCTATCAGTCCTTGTCGAACCGGACAGGCTTAGGGAGGCACACCTAGCACTGAAGATCAATGGTGCCGAACCCTAGAGATCAGAGGAACATCCTGAGAAAATCAAGGATGAGAGACCTGGCAAGAGGTGACTGCCACACAAGAGGCTCCCCTAAGGAGCTGAGCTAGGTCACTGAGAGGGACTGCCCTAGAGTCGGGGGCTCCCCCTCTATGCTGACCTTCCTCTATGACCCTGCAGGCCCAGTACAGTGAGGAATGGCTGCTAGCCTGGCCCCCCACCCCCTTTGGCTCTCTGATACATTCACCTTTTCCTTTAGACCTCCACCCCCATTCCCCAAGAGAATATTCAGGCCATTTTGTTTGTTTGGTTGGTTGGTTGGAGGCTGTTTCGCATTGGTAAAGAGTATAGGCTAGCAATCTGGAAACTCCCTAATTCAGGGGATGTCTTATATCAATATAAGATACTCAAGTGGGGAGAATATAAAACTTAAATGCCATTTACAGAGGACTCAAATAAACCCATCTCAAATGCTGAGTAATCCAAAACATTGAAGCTGAGCAATGGTATGTTTAACCGTTAGTTCTGCCAAGGCTAAGCTGTTGGACTTTAAGCCAATGTCCAGACTCCAGGTAGTCAGTCATTTGTAGTGAAGTTGCACATCTTTGTGTTTTCTGCATACAACAAAGTAGGTGACTTAAAATACACATTTGTTTAAACCAGTTTACTCCCTTTTACAATTGTATCTTCAGTCTTACATTTAAATATCCGCCCAAATAGTCAATGAAACCAACAGAGGACTGTGACAGTATCATTCAGATGAGATGATAATGCAAGAAAAAGTCAGGTTAAACTCCGAGACCAAGCACAGATTAGAAGTCTGCTCATCAGAGCCCATGAGCCCCCAAGATCCCGCCTGCATGGCTTCCTGTCCAGAAGTCTGCTCATGTGCCTAATGTGCTAGAAGCCTCACACAGACAGAGCCCATTGAGCCCCTGAGATCCCGTCTGCACAGCTTCCTGTCCAGAATGCGTCTCCTCACTGCCAATGAGGCCTGCACAGCAGCTAAGCATTGTCAGAGCAGACTCATGAGGTCCCAGCCTATTCCAGATTCAGCATACATCCCCCAAAACCGTGCTGTTGAATTGCTCCCTGAATTACAAAATAATCTCAGCTTTCAGAAGCCACAAACTTTAAAAAAATAAAAAAGAAGAAAAAGAAATTTTAAAAGGAAGGGTTAAGATCCGTTCAAAGACACTGCATATTACACATTACAGGTAAGAACGGGTGACACCAAGGACAAGAAAGGCACAGGGAACTTTCTACCACATCAGACAACACTGTCAATGGCAGCTACTTATTTTAACCAGATTATAGGTGGGGGAAATGAATTATTACCAGAATTTGCACCACTTTCTTGGAAAATCTAACAATGAAACATTATATATATATACACTTATTAATTCTGTATTTATTTGAAGAATCTTTGGTAACAACTGTGTGTCTCCCACATTATAGGACTTTTGAAAATGAACTACTATTCGGCATATGAAAGATGAGCTGTAGAGCTAAGTGCTGCGCTTTCATATTGCAACCTTAAACCTGACCGCTAACTGGCGCTGGTCATGCATTTCAACACAGTACATTTAACCTGCGAACATACACAATGAGAGGCTAATATCAGAAAGGAACAGACAGCAATGACAAAACATAACAATGACAGCTGTTCTTAAGTAATTTATTTTTAAATTATAAGATTTACAATGCCTTGATTATGCAAAATATAATAGAAATTAAACTAAATCAATAAACCAAAAGAGAAAGAAAACTTTTTCTTGAATATCAGTACTTAAGCCATCTTTGTTCCAACCGCATCTTATAAAGTACGCTAATTTCAAATGTTTCACTTGCAGGTTTAATTTCTCACTTGCAATGTTTTATGAACTGTAATTTTTTTCAAATGCTATTATACCTAGTGTTTATACTGCAACAGCAGCAAAATCTCACGAGTGCGATCAAATGTGGAAGTGGGGCCCAGACTTCAGCTTTTAGCCACAGACAGAAATTATCCACGGCAATTGGTAGAGCAAAGTACGCTTGAGTGACCAGAACATGGCTTAGAACACTGACGGCAGCTGCTGTCCTGTCCCTCTGATCTGAACCCGCCGGCATGTGGCAGCATTACTGCTGTGGATAGTAAGACTGCTGCGGGGGCTGAGGGAAGGGGTAGGTAGGCTGCTGGGGTCCTGGGTATGGAGCCTGTCCGGGGCTCTGGTGGTACACCGGTGTATACGGCATGTTGTACTGGCCATATGCGTAGGGGTTGTAGCCCATGGGCATGGGCATTTGGCAATACCTGAGGGTGAGAAGAAAACAAAACACTGGGTTGGTAAGTCAAATCCTGTAGAGTGAGGTCATTACTCTAACGTCAATTTTCAGTAACAGCTTTTCATTCTTCTAGGAAAGAGAAGCGAGACAAAGGACTTGTTCCAAAAGAAAAGGCATCGCTATCATTAATTAAATCAAAGATTATCATGCTGCTAATACTGCCCAGAAAATAATAATGCTGACTCCCACTACTAAAGGAAGAATAAAAACAGAAACTGTCTATTTGAATGAAGTTCTCTAGTTCTCTGGCTATGCTCCTGGAGAGATGGTTCACTGGTTAAGAGCACTGGCTGCTCTTCCAGAGGATCTGGGTTTAGCTCCCACCACCATGAAAATAAGTAAACAAATAGACATTGCCACGCAGAAGGCTAACCTTCAAACACATCCCATAATGGTCTAAATTTCCATTCGTCTGTTTACTAGATACTGAGATTCCCAAGTATACACACATCAACAAGGCTTATGATCCTGGCTTCACATAAAGGCAGCCGGGGCACAGGTACTGAATTTCACACAGAAGAGATGTTTTTATACAAATGAAAGATGCAAAAAATTAAAATATATATCCTAGACATCTAGGAAATAGCTGTTCAGTTCCTCAAATATGCAACTGTAATATGATTTTAATTTCTGGGCAAGCCAACAACATGGCTGAGTCATGAGATCTGTGCTCAGAGAGGGATGAGCCTGTCTTTAAAGAGTAGTCACAGCTAGAAATTTGTTAATTCCTGGAGACACAGAGTGTCACTGTCTTACCCAGGATATCCTGGATAGGTAGGATATGGTGGTCCCTGAGCCTGTGGAGGGGGAGCAGACCCAGGGGTCTGTGGCGGTGCTGGTGAAGCAGCCCCTGCCCCTGTGGGAGCAGCAGCAGCAGGGGAGACTCGGTTTGCAGGAAGCACAGGAGGTGGAGGCCGGGCTGGAGGCTGAGGCTTCGCAGGCTGAAAGAGAACACAAGCAATGACACGGAGTGTGCAGTGGCTCTAGACCCTGCTGACTGTAACGAGGGAGAGCACAGGCATCCAGACTGTTCAACTCCCACTCTCAGACATCAGCCCACTAGTCTAGAACGTGGCTGAAAGTCAGTCTCTGACTTCTGAAGGAGTGCTGACATCTACTCATGCTGTCTCCACCAACACCACACACACTACTGGGCCTACTGTCAGGCCCCAAATTCTCTTTACTAAACCTTTAAACCTGTGGAAACTTTTTTTTAAAATACACACTTGCATGAGCATCGATGAAATTGAGCAACTGTTAATACTATTGTCTCCCATATGTCTGCAGAATCATTCAAAGCTGCCAGCTTCACAGGGCCAGCCCTCCAGACAGATATCAACACTCAGCTTGTCATCAAAACAATCATGCTGCTCCCTAGGTCTGGTGAATATCCACTCCAGATCCAAGATTCTTACCCACCTGAAAGAAAGGTCTGTGGTTGCCGTTGTGAACCAAATTCAAATCAAGGTTCATGTGCCACAGACTGTAAAGAACTGCTCATTCTCATCTACAACTCCCTCCCGTCGACGTATGTGGTTTAGAAAACAGGGGAATCTCAAAATCTGCATCTCACGCTCTAGGTTTGTTTGCCATTTCTGAGGACATGATTGAGCATCTTTTTCCATCACTGTCTTCATTTGGGAGAAAAGTCCATTCTAAGGATATTGTTTCACTCAGGCTAAACATTTGTGGCAGTGAGAATTCATGAGTGCTGCTGTGTTTATACACTAGAAGCCATCAGAAGGTTGGACCCCCAACCACAGGTGGGGACCACCAGTTCCGTCCAGCGCAGCCCTGAGCTGGCCAGCTGCAGGACAGGAATGCAGCAGGAGTCCTGGCCTACTCACCGGCATGGTTCTTGGAGCTGGAGTTGGAGGCGCTGTGGCGTGTCCCCCAGCAGGGGAGGACTGATATGCCGGAGGAGGGATGGAAGGAGCGCTGGGCTCTCTGGCAATGCTCTGCTGCAGATCCCTTGTGAGAGACGGAGCGTTAAGGTTAACACCATGAAAAATACCTGTAAGATGCTACCTCCTTTGTTTCTCTTCACATATTAAGCAAACATGCCTCCAAATAGTGACAGTATTCTAGAACATGCTCCCATTCTTGCCTAAAAAGTGCATCTTTAATCCTGCAGCAAAACAAAGCTGTAATATGACTCTACTTCTAAGACCAGCAAAGGATAGAGTTCTTTCAGACGTCTTCATTGTAACTAGAATAAGGAACATCTTAACTAGGCAAGCAGTCTTAGAAGATTGTTTCTTATCTAATAATAGCTAATTACAAAACAAAAAAAACTATTAGCACAATTGTCAGAGAACTGTAACCCATTCGGACACTGGGCTAATATTTCAATCTGAGTACAACATCAGTGTCCACATAAAATAATCCAGCCCCAGAGTGGTAGAGGCAGAAGATCACAAGTTTAGGGCCAGCTCTAATAGTGTAGCAAAAACCTGTCTCAAATAAACAAAAAGGGGATAAAATAAAGATAAGTTAATTATGCAAGTAAATATATCAATTTCTAGAACAATTTTTTAGCCTGTTACTTAAAGATACATGGCACTGAGCTATTTTGTGTTAAAAGCTAATGCAGTAATCTGTCACTCTAGATTTGTGTGTTTACTTGGAGGACCTGTACAGGCCAGGAAACTAGAAAGGGGCCACAAGGGGAGAAGGGAAAAAGATCTTAAGGGAGGCTGAGATAATACAGCACAGGAGATAGGAAGGAGGAAAAGGAAATAAGGAGGGAGATGGAAGGAGGAGGACAATGGGAGGGTGAGGCACAGGAGAGGTAGGGGAGAGGGATAACTAAACACTAAGGATATTTGAAAAAGTCATCCAGAAACATACAATTTTATAAACTTCCTAAATATAGATATATGTAGATATATATCCATATATGGGTGCATACATGTATATGTGCAACATATATGCATATATATATACACATATACATATGCATATACATATACATATGTGAGGGTTTAACTGGAGTTACCCTACACAGGGGATAGTGTTCCTCACAGAAGTCACAGGTTACCAAATAAAAAAATCTACTGCCAGGTATGGGTTATTTCCCCTTAAGGTGGTAGTCAAAGGCTGCTAAATTCTGTTCCCTTGCTCACATCATAAACACAGTACCTTTGTGTAAGCATGGGTCAACTTCCTCCTGATTACTCACTATGTCAGTCCTCTACTATAGGCCCAGCTTTCTCAGCGGCTCCTGCAAAAGGGACTGTGCTATTTTCTAAACTGTCCTCCTGAGCTGTTTCACCTCTGTGCCCCACTGTACTTCCACACCTTGGGTTTCTGTTCCTTCATTCTTTCATCCCAGATCAAGATGCCCTATGACTCTATGAAATGCTCAGAAGACAGAAGGGGAATTGCTGCATTAACACCACCCAGTTCATTCTAAACACAAGGAAGCAGCTTAAGTACAATCTGACACACAAAACAAACTCACTTCAAGAGCTCGTCTCTCTCTGTCTTCCGTGCAAACACTATGTCACTGCATTTGTTCTGGAACCTGACCAAGATTTCAGTCAGCTCGTTGTAAAACTATAAGCAAAGAGCAAATACAAGTAATAAGTAAAAAGCAATTTTAATCTAAGGAAAAATAAATTCTAACAATAATTTAATTTATCAATGATGCTGGGACTAGAAGGTAAAATTGTTCACAAGAGATACATTCATACTATCAGTTGAATAACTTAGTACTAAATATGACCCAAGATTGATAAAGAAAATAAAACTAAGGAGATCATGTTCACAGAATACTGGCACTAAATATTAAATAGCTGTAAGTTACAAGTTTTATAACTGTGACTATGTTCCCAATCCCTACATAAAAACCAACCTCTAAGAGATGACTCTAACTCTACCGTCATGCTGAGTTAAACCTGTACAGTACCTATGAAATACAGGTGTCACTGCAGATAATACCCAAAGCTCTCTGGAGAATTCTTCAGCTTATCTAATTGAACAAAGCATTGAGTCCTAAGAATGGCATCGTACCCTGCCACACCATGGCTTTACAGTGCTATCTATTCACAGACTGTTGAGAATAAATACTGTGTCTCATCAAGGTAACTTTATTCAGTAACCATTATGAAATTAAGAACCAGAAGAAACTTTGTATCTGAAAAACTTAAAAATCACTTCTCTCAAAAAACAATCAGGAAAAAATATATAGCTAAGCATTCCTCTAAACCTTTAAAGAACAAATCAAGGAATGCACTTAGAATGTATCTGAAGACTACTTTGATACTCAGGAAGTCTGTCTTCATCACACCACCATCATAGGAGATCACAGCCATGTGTCCCCTCCCACCACAGATCAGTCCCAACTAGCCCTAAAGAAGATGTCATTCGTTTTTGATAGCTCTAATTCCTGCTACCTGCAATGCGTAAGTCCCTTCTCTACACAATTTATTCTTCAAAGCTCCACCAAATGTTGCTGCCTCCGCTCAGCATTCTCTCTCTGCAAGCCTGACAGAAGCAAAAGGCAGTAAAACCAGCAAATCAAATGCAGATACTTGATCCAACTGCAACTATCAATAGTATCCCATCTGTACCTATTATCTCTAGTCTTTCATGTGCACGCATACCTTTGTGCCCTCCTTCAAGTTAGCTACAAGTTCAACAAAATTGTCATATGCAGTTGCCAAGTTCTTCAGAACTTCTTCTCTCAAGTTAGCTTCATTATTAGACTGCTTCATTTTAGAAAATTCTTGGTGTGAGACCTTGGTAAAAGAAACAAAGTGTATATTTACTTATAAATTTAATTTAGCTTAAAATACTTTTAAATTTTCTTTCATTTATTACTTAGTTCATACACATGGATGTGTGTAGGTATGCATGTGCCACAGAGGACAAATTTCAGGAATTGATTCTTTTCTTCCACCACATGAGTCCCAGGGATCGAACTCAGGTCATCAGGACTAGTGGCACACACCTTTATATCCCGAGCCATCTTGATAGCCAATCAAAATATTTGTACTGGGGCCGGGTATAATCGTATACACCTTTAATTCCAACATTGGGGAGGCAGAGACAAGCAGATCTCTAAAAACGCCAAGCCTGTCAGGGCTGCATAGTAAGACCATCTCAAAGAATAAAACTAAAACAACAACAAAAAACTATTGATCTTTTCCATTATGAAATCATGATTGCTGGTATGCAAAATTACAAGAAATACCTGGAATTTCTTTGTGTCACATAAACTGTGACATTTTTAAGTAAAAATATCACAAATTCAATAATAGCAAAACATAATTAACAATGGTTACCAATTTCTATCAGTCTATAACACAAAAAGCACCCAGATAGAACTGATTATTCTAGAATACTTTTACCACTATAGAACTCTGCACATTCACTGATAAAATGGCAACATCTCAAGTTTGATACACAGCTAAAGTCATGTATTAGCCCGATCATTCTGCAGGCATTAATGATTCCCACTAATTTTGATTCTTCCCTCCCTACAGACAATAAAAAGGAAACAAACAGAAATGATTTGGAAAACATGTCTGAAAGTTCTCTATGCAGTAGGTAGCCAGAAGTAACTTTGTTTCTAGTACTAGGATTGAACCTAGGACCTCACACATACCAGGTGAATGAGACTAATGGGCATTCTCAGCCATTAAGAGTGCATGCTGCTCTTCAAGGTGACACACAAGGATGGCAAGTTTGAGATTCACCTGTGTCTCACAGTGGCAGTGAGTTTCATGCCAACCTGGCTGTAAAGACCCTTTATTTTTGCATACTATGCAGATATACCATACTCTCCTCTGTGAATTCTTCATTTTCACGTTCTTCAATGGTAATAGATCTGGCACACACATCCTTTTAAATATATAAATGTACCTGGATATTTTTTAGAAGTCCCTCCTGTTTCTTCAGAGACTCTTGGACTTTAGCTGTTAGACCACCATAGATTCTATCCAGCTCAGTGACAGAAAGAGCCTCCTCATTTATCACGCCATCCTGAGCCAGGGCTGTCAAAAACTTGCTTGTCATGTCAAAATTCACTGACTTCAGGTCATTCTCAAGACCCTCTCTTTCCTTCTTTAGTTCATCAAGATTTGACAATAAGGATTTTAACACATTTACAACCTAAACAACAAACACATGCATGGTCATTGGTAGGGCATCCCTGGACATAAAGTGCAAGACTGAGGAACACAATCCCTCTGCACTACCTCTGGGGAAATGAGCATTTTTTTATAATCAAAATTCAAAATTTTTGGTATTGGAAACAAATGGGCCTATCAAAGTAAAACAGTTACAGCAAAGAAAATATTTCAAACTAGGTTTGATGCTGCATACCTTAATCTCAGCATTGGGAGGTGGACACAGGTGGATAATTGAGTTTAAAAGTAAGGGCAGCTTGGACTACATAAAAAGATACAGAGAGGGGGGAGGGAGGGAAAGAGAAAGAAAGGAAGGAGGGAAGGAAGAAGGGAGAGGGGGAGAAAGAGGAAGGAAAAGAAAGAGAGGGGGGAACGGGGGGAGGGAGGGAGGGAGGGAGGGAGGGAGGGAGGGAGGGAGGGAGGAAGGAAGGTTGGTTTAAGATTAGCTTTCAGGGCTGGGAATACAGTTCATGGTGTTCAGCTTGCCTAATATGCATGAAACCCTGGATTCAATCTCCAGAACCACTGTTTCAAAAGAAGGAAAGAAAATAGTATCTCACGACTGAAATACCAGTAATCAGCATGACAGACTTGGTTACTATATAACCAGGGCAGGTAAGTTCCTGGAAAGCTAAATCGTCTCATTTGCAAAATGAAAATCATGCCTATTTCAGGACCACTGTAAAGATCAAGGTGACCCATATGAAGTGTTCAACATAATTCCCTGCCTCTGCAGAGGCAGAGCTCACCACAAAGCCACTGCTACCTGGTACTTGAAATCTGTAATTCCCAGCACAGGACAGAGCCCACCATGCAGCCATAGCTACCTGGCACCTGAACTTTATGAAACAACTACAAATCTTGGGCACATTTTGAACTCCATAGAGGCTTAGAAATCTAAACATTCAGACAGTTTTAAAAAAAAAAGTGAAGCAGATCAGAAAGTCTCATTTATTTAGTAAATTTAAGGTACCTCTTAAATATGTGCCATATTTTTTATTGAGTCAGGTGCAATAGGGCATATAAATTCAAAATGTTAAATATATATATTTTTAATATATATATATATATGAGATAATATATATCTCATATATATATATATATATATGAGAGGGCTGGGGAGATGGCTCATGGGTAAGCATTAGGGCCTGAGTTTGGATGCCCACAACACACCTCTAGTACATGGTGATGAGCCTTCTCAGTATTTGTAGATAAACATTCTCTAATTAAAAATCTAAAAAGAGCTAGAAAGATGACTTAGAAATTAAGAGCACTTGGTACTCATGGTTCCATAGGTCTTGAGTTCAGTCTGCAGCACCCACATAGGGCAGCTCACAACTGTAACTCCAGCTTCAGGGTATTCAATGCCTTATGTGAGAATACCCACTGTCCTGGCTGGTTGTGTGTCAACCTGACACAAGCTAGAGTCATCAGAAAGGAAGGAGCCTTGGTTGAGGAACTGCCTCCATGAGATCCAGCTGTCAATTTGTCAATAAGTAATCAATGATTAATGAGGGAGGGCCCAGTCCATTATGGGTGGGGCCATCCATGGGCTGGTGGTCCTGGATTCTATAAGAAAGTATGCTGAGCAAGCCAATAAGCAACACCCTTTCATGGCTTCTATATCAGCTCCTGCCTCCAGGATCCTGCCTTGTTTGAGTTCCTATCCTGATACCCTTCTGTGGTGAACAGCAAGCAATGTGGAAGGATAAGCCAAATAAAACCCTTTCCTCCCCAACTTGCTTTCTGGTTACAGTGTTTTGTTACAGCAATAGAAATCCTAACTAAGACACCCACACAGACAGATACACCTACATATAAATAAAATATAATAAAAATTTTTTCTTTTTTTTAAAAAAAAAAAGAGGAAAGGGATGCCTACAGTCTTTAAAGTGCCTGAGTGTGGTTAGATCCCCGTGTTGGAGAAGTAACTCAGTACCATGGACAAGGCCCGGAGTTTCACTGAACCAACTGTGCCGAGCATGCCAGTAATCCCAACACTATTATCCACACTGGATCACAAATTGAGATAAATAATGGGTGTCTATGATTCACTGCTAATTTTTCAAAGTACTTAACAAACTATCTCACATAGTAAGTGTTGCTATAATATATAAAATTATTCTATACAAAGAGAAATAAAGAACAATATCAACCACTTTAGAAATTTACTATCCCAGGAAATGTGTCTTTCTCAATACAGTGTTTGTCTCTTGCCCAAGTTTATTTTCTGCACTCCAGGGAGCAGCTATCCTATCCAATGCATCACTCTTCCTTACAGTGGGCACTGTTAGATTACACCTGCACTCTCTCTTCTTTAGGACTTCCCTAATCAGAGGCTCTGTGGGTTTCATCATTAGAAATATTATCATGGGCCAGACAGTGGTGGTACATGCACATTTTAGTCCCAGCACTTGGAAGGCAAACACAGGTGGATCTCTGTGAGTTTGAGCTCAGCCTGGTCTACAGAGTGAGTTCCAGGACAGACCCAACAAAACAATAGACAAACCCTGTCTCAAAAAAAGAAAAAAGAAAGAAATATTATCATGAGGGCTGAAGAGAAGGCTCAGTGTTTAAGAGTACTGGTTTATCTCCCAGAACACCAGGTTCAAAACAAATTTCAGCACCCACATAGCAGTTCCAATTCCAGGGGATCTGGCACCAATGTACATGCAGGGAAAACACCAATGTATATAAAATAAAAAATAACACTGTTACCATATGTGTGCCTAGAATTTAGTACCCAGCTCACAAAAAGAACTCAAGAAATGAAAATAGCATCAGGATCTTAATCAATAATTCTGTATCGTGCAATATATATAATACTAGTTTAGACATAACAACCCTAATTTATGTCTACATGTGTATATGTGTCTGTGTGTGAGTATGATTATGTGGTACTTGGAATCAAACCCAAAACCTGGAGCAGACTAAGCAAGTGCTCTACCATGAAGCTATACCTCATACCCCATTCTTTACTGTTTAGAAGGTAACAGGAAGACACTGGGAGGTCACTGTACACAGCAGCTTGAACAGAGTTCCACAAACACAGGACTACCCAGAGCAAGTTCCACCTTCTCACCTCGCTGCCCTGCATGGTCTTTGCTGGATTAGCAGAAGGGATGGCAGCATTCAGCTCAGGTTCCGGCTTACACAGAAGGGCGATGGTGTCACGATGGGACTGGTAACGCTCTTTTACGTTTCCGTCAGCTTGCACAGCTTTATCTAAAACCGCTCTGAATTTGGATCCCTCTGGGGAAAAGAGTTTCCAGAACTCAGGCTCATGGGGTTGATGATACTTTAAAGTCCTGGTCCTCAGCTTGATCCCCCTTCCCTCTTCACTAGGCCCCAGACAACAGACCTAGACAAGAGACCTCATCTCCTACAGATCAGCGCAGTTTGGTTTTGGGAAAAAGACAAAATTGTCCATGAAGCTGGGGCACAGTAATCTGTTCTCATTTGGCTAACATTTGCCAAGTGAAAGAAACCTGACAGTTGTCTAGTTTCTTCTTACAACTCAGAACACAGGACGAAATCATTTACACCAAAACAAGGTACAACTCATGAAAAAGTACTCCTCTCTCAGAAGATAATCTCACTTCAAAGAAAAGTAGATCCATTTGAAAAATCTAACAAAGATAAAGTTGTTTCTAGCTAAAATGAAGACACTACGTATTGTAAACACAAACCTTAATAATTGAATTCTTAAAAAGCTGTCAAAGTAGCTGTTAAGGTTCATTCTCTTATCTACCTGGAATTCACTGGATTCACTACTAGGTCAAAAAGGAAGGACAAGATCATACCTACCACTTCATGTGTGTTTTTAAAATATATGTGGGGCTTGGAAAAGCTTGAGACTCACAAATCAGCTGCATTCCACTAGTCACAGGGAACCTAGATGAGTTTCAGTACTGTTTTGTCTTTGTCTTTGTTAATCAAGGGGAAACACCTGCATTTTCATTAGTCATATAAAGTTCAGTAAAAATGAGTTTACAACTGAGTCTAATTTAAAAATACGTGTGGATAAAGTGGGAACCGATTTGCATGCAGCTCATCTGTGCCGTGGTTACCTGCTCGTAAAGGCTTGTAGAGGTCATTGGATGCAGTCCTTTGCCAGCGTTCCTTGAATTTTGCTCTTAAATCATTATCAGTTGCTTCTTCTTCATCCAGCAATCTTAGAGACTTAAAAAAGGATGCAAAAATCCTTCAGATATCATTTATCATTTCTAGCATTAAAAAAAAACCTCAATAATTTAATTGTTGTTTATGTGGTCTGAGAGAGTTGGTTGTTTGGTTTTTTGAGACAATGTCTTGTTACATAGCCCTAGTTAGCCCAGTACTTGCTATGAAGAGAACGCTGGCCTTAAATCCTTCTGCATTCATTTACTGAGTGTTGGAATTATAGGTGTAAGACACCATACCTGTTTTTGACCTGTTTTGACCAAACCCAACAGAGATAACGAAAGAGGCAGAAATATTTTAATACCACTAAATGATTGCTATGTAAATTTTGTTTAGTTTGAAATGGTCTCAATATAAAACCCAGACTAGCCTCAGATTTGTGACCCTCCTGCCTTCTAGGTGCTGACATTATTAGTACAAAAAATGATACATTTTTGTTGCAGAAATCTTGAGTTTTAACATGACAGAAAATTGATCTGGAGCAGTAGTAGAGTACTTGCCTAACAGGGACAAGGGGCTGGATTTTATTACCACCTCATTCTCTCTCTCTCTCTCTCTCTCTCTCTCTCTCTGTGAGTGAGTGTGTGTGTGTGTGTGTGTGTGTGTGTGTGTGTGAGAGAGAGAGAGAGAGAGAGAGAGCGCACACAGAGAGAGCAGTCCAAGTTAAGGGTATTTATTACTTTTCTCAGTAAAAGAAAACAGGGTGCTCAATGGGCATGCACACAGCCGTGGGCTCAGTCTTCAGCCCCACATAAAAACCAGGTGTAGCAGAACAAACACACCTGTAATTCCAGCACTTAGGACACGAAAGCAGGAAGACTAAAAGTTCAAAGGGTTGTGGTGGTTTGAACAGGAATGGCCCCCAAAGACTTATAAATTTGAATGTTACAGTCATCAGGGAGTGGCACTATTTGAGAAGGACTAGGAGGCGTGGCCTTGATGGAGGAAATGTGTCACTGGGGTGGGTTTTGAGGTTTGAGGCTTCTGTCTGCTCTCTATGGATCAGGATGTAGCTCTCCACTACTGCTCTAATGTTATGCATACCACCATGCTCCCTGCCATGATGAGAATGGACTAACCCTCAGAAACTGCAAACAAGCCCCTAATTAAATGCTTTCTTTTCTAAGAGCTGCCTTAGTAATGATGTCCCTTCACAGCAACAGAACAGTGACTGAGACAGGAGCTCATAAGGCTCAACCCCTAGCTGAGGATCTACTCCCAACTGTTGGCTGCTAGGGAAGGGGAGCAGTATTTTCCATCTGTGGTATGGCCTCTGATAGTTTGTCTAGGTGAATGACCCAACATTCATGTTCCTGCTAGAAGCACTAACTAGGCTCAGTGGATTAGGGAACAGGGGGAGCAAGAGCCATATAGGAGGGGGAAGTATGGGAGTGGTCAGAGAGATAGAAAGGGCTTGGGGTTGGGGTTTGATAGATACATTATATACATGTGTGAAACAGTCAAAGAATAATTTTTAAATTATAAAACAATAAAAAGAAATAGATAGGTGGTAGTGGTGCATGCCTTTAATCCCAGCACTTAGAAGGCAGAGGCAGGTAGATCTCTGAGTTCTAGGCCAGCCTGGTCTACAAAGAGAGTTCCAGGACAGCCAGGGCTATACAGAGAAAGCCTGTCTTGAAAAACCAAAACAGGAAAAAAGACTCATTCTCACTCAATAGAATTCTTCCTGAGAATAAATAAAGGCAAGGAAGGCACAGTGACCTCAACCAGACACTGAGTAATACCCCTCAAAACCCAGGAGGCACCAAGATGTCAGTTTCTACTTGAAAAGCCAATCTTTTCAAACATACCTCCTCTAAGATTTCTCTATTTCTTTGTAGTAACTCGGGTAGTTCTTTTATCAGCTGGTCGACAGTCTGGATGCCACCCTGCTCAACTACAGATGCAGATTTGGTAAGTATCGACTGAGGTACAGTGTCTCCAGACACATCTTCAATTGCTGCTGGAAGATTGAGGGAAGCCAATACCCTGAAAAACAGGAGGAGACATTGTATGTGTAGATCTACACCACCTTCAAAACAGCCGTCACTTACAGCCACCCACATCAACAATGGAGTTAGCATGACACAAGGATGACTCCTATTAAAAATAAGAGGGAGGAAGAAATCAGTGATTAATACAATTAAACTAATTAAAGAACAGACGTTGGGAGGGGGAGAGGAGCTATGTTGGCTGGGTGGGAGAAGCTGAAGGAGGGGAGTGGGAGATGGACACTACAAAGATTCACTGCATACCAGTATAAATTTTTCAATTAATTTATAAAAATTTAAAAGAACTGAGATGTTTAAGTTCAGAGTTCAGAATTAAAAAACAAAAAGCAAGAAAAATGCTGGGCACAGTGGTGCATGCCCTATTATAATTTTGTATCTATGCAAAAGATCAAAGTATCAATTACAGACTCACCCACATTCTGGGTTTTGTGGTGGTCACTTTTCATGTACATGAAAAGGCAAAGGAATTTATACATATTTACTATTCATGATACCAAAATAAAACAAGTAAGCCAAAGAACATGAGAAACAGAGAATCAGGACTTCAAAATTATCCTCAGTTATAGATGAAGTCTGAGGCCCCGGATGGAGAGATGGATGAATGAATGGACAGACAGACAGACAGATAAGATATAAGAAAGAAGGAAGGGAGGGAGGGAACTAGTACAAATGTTTCAGTAACAAAAAGTCAAAATTTACAATCATTTAAATTGAAAGCATCAAAAGCCAAAATTGAAAAAAATATGCAATCACAAATATCTGACTTGCATTTAAAATACATGAAGAATTCTTTAAGACAAGGATTATCAGGAGGTGACTCAGCTGTCAAGAATACTTGTTGAACTGGTAGAGAATACAGCTGCCATTACAATCACATGGCAGCTCATAATTATCCATAAAGGCAGATCAAGGGGATCTGACACCCTTTTCTGTCCTCCACTGGCACTGAACACACATGGTGCACATACATACATACACACATACATACATACATACAGGCACAATACTCATACACATTAAATATATTAGTTATATTTATAATAAAATAATATGTTAAATTGATCTTTTAAAGAAAAAAAACTTGCCAGTGGTGGTGGCACACACCTTTAATTCCAGCACTCAGGAGGCAGAGGCAGGGGCTCTCTCTGATTTTGAGGCCAGCCTGGTCTACAAAAAAAAAAAAAAAAAAAAAAAAAAAAAAAAAAAAAAAATGAGTTCCAGAACAGCTAGAGCTACACAGAGTAACTTTGTCTCCAAAAAACAAAAAACAAAAAAAAAGCCTTATTTTGAATTTTCTTGTTAAATTTATTTATGAAAGGAGAGACACACATGTGGAGGTAGAGGTCAGAGGACAACTTGCAAGAGTCACCTCTTGCCTTCTACCATGTGGGTCTTAAGGACCAAACTCAAGTCATCAGGCTTGAAAGTAAATGACTTTACCCACGGAGCTAACTTACTGGTCCCAGGAAAACTTAAATTTTGAAAAGGCAATAAATGACTAAGAATATAATATAACACAGTGGTAAAAAAATATGCCTAACACATAAAAGGGCCTAATTTTGATCCCAGGTAGCCTCCATACCCTTACCCATCCCTCTGCAACACTAAGCCAAAATAAACCCTTTCCATCGCCTTTTTTGTCAAGGTACTTTATAGTAACAGAAAAGAAACTAAGGCTCTCCCTCGGGCAGTTTTCACAGTACTTTGTCATAATGATAAAATGCTCAGAGTATTGTGGGTGGAATAGAATACATCCTCCATGGTTCATGTTCTTCAACACTTGATCCCAGCTGGTAGCTGTTTTAGAGGTTGTGGAACCTTTAGAAGATGGAGAAGTGGATCCCTGGACGGCAAGCTATAGAGATCGCCTAGCTCTGCTTCCTGAGGCATATGTAGCATGCACTGTTAGTACTGTATATGGTGTGTGATGTGGCAAACTAAGATGTACACAATGTTCACACTACAGGGCTTACATTTATGGCAAACTGCACAGAGTGAACTTGACCTACAGTGACACAGAACACGTGAGAGGAGCCAGGAACTAAGGGCAGAGGGACTGAAGGGGAGGAGGCATGAGGACTGACATAGGTTATGTTCTTCGTAGGAGTTACATGGGTATTTGCATTTACCAAACTAAATGAATTACACTTTAAATGAGCACATTTCATTATGCGTAAATTTATACCTAGTTTTTAGCCCACGAAATATTTTCTTAATATAAAACTTGGTTTACAGTACCTAACGATTCAAAGAGTCTTTTGATTACATGTATTTCTGTTGAGTATATGTGTAGGCACTTGCATGCCACAGTGCATATGTGGAGGTCAGAGGACAACCTGCAGGTGTTTCCTTCCACCATGAGGGTCCCAGGAACAGAACTGGTATTATACGGCTTAACAGCAAGCACTTAACATAAGGCTGAGCCATCTCTTCAGCCTGGAACCATGCATCTTAAAGGGCTCATCTCTACTCATTGTTCATCAAGTAAGTCTCTTGAAATCCAAAATAGTAGTCAAATTGTCTTACCTTTTTCTGTAATTCCATTCATTCCAACTCTAGTTTACGTAAGCCTTCTTAAGAAAATAACGGAAAAGAACAAGTATTGGTGTATCTAGGTCTGCTTGGTATTCATTTCCAGGCTCAAGGTTACAAAATGTTCATAAATTACTCAAAGCATAAGTAAGCAGCTGACTTAAGAACCTCTAAGTCAGCTTCTGAAGACCAGCTTCCACCTACCCATTTGCCAAAGTAGTGGCTTCTCTCATTTGAGCAATTGATCTGTTAACCAAGTCAGCTTTCCTCTGACCAAACACAGCCAGGGACTGTTGCACAGACACAGGGACCATTTTCTCAAACAAATCTAAAACAGAAGAGAAGGTCCAAGTAAGACATATGAAACAGACTCAAACTACAGACAGGACTACTCGTTTTCTCTGTAATGTCACAAGATCAGAAACTACATCATAATGAAAGCCAGTGGTAAACAGAACTCCAGATCACTATATTGACAGACAAGAGCAATGAAAGCTCCTCTCAGACCTTCATTCCCATAAGTTTCAAGTCATCATATATGAAGGATCTTAGTGGTTCTGCTTCCTTGATGACCAGACAGACTGTGTGATCACAGTCCGCACTTCCTAGCTATGTAGCCTTGGGAAACATACTTGCTCTGAGCCACAGCATCGGCATCAGCAGCAAAGACGTCAATAGTTGTGTCGTAGGACGCTGCGAGAGACAAACTGAGTGTATTTGTCCATCTTAGTCACTGGCACACAGTTAACACTTTCTGTTTATTAAACAAAACTAAGTTAATCACTCTTTCCTATTATTATTATGCAGGAGATCTGTTAGAAGCTATCAAATATTGCATATATAACATATATTGGCACTATCAAAGAAAGGCTGTAATAAAAACATTGACCTAATGCAAATACCACACTAGAATATACTAGTTTAAAAATTATTTATCCATGTACGGTGGCTCATACCCATAATCTCAGTCCTTAGAAGGCTAAAGCAGGAGATTTAGGAGTTCAAAGTCAACTTAGGTTACACAGTGAGATGAAGGCCAGTCTAGGCTACATGAGACCTCTCAAATAAATAAGTAAATAAAAAATAAATAACCATATGTTTATATTCAGTGATGGTATAACGAATGTTCCATCAGCAAAACAACTAGGCTCGTCTAAAGTCCTAATCTTATCAAAATCCTACCTCAAATATCCACGGTTCATACTTCACAGGTGCTCCGTTGCTTACTTTCCCCTTGGAAACGTCACAGAAGACACAACATCTAACTTTCCCACACTTTCTTGTCCATAGTTGGCTGTGTTTGCTCATCTTACTCAATCTAAAGCCAAGCTAGGCCCAGAACTCACTATGTAGGCCAGGCAGACCTCAAACTCAGATTCCTCCTGTCTCAGCTTCAAGTGTGCTGGGATATCAGGTGTGTACCATTTCTATTCCCATGTTTCTTTTAAACAACTTAAATGCAGGTTCTATTCTAAGTATTAGAGAAAATATGTGAGATTTTATATTATAACACAGATCAGCCTGGAGGAGAGAGAAGCCTTCATCAAAGCACAATTTTCTTCACAAAAAAATAGAAAATGAGTAGTTTTCAGGGTCGCTGAGGGGAAAAAAAACAAGAAGGGGGAGAACCCGGAGAAAACACAAATTGACTAAAGTACACAGGGAACAGACCTACCTGTGAACTTCTGGCTGATGGGTACATTGACTGGGGTGGGTTTCACAAGGGTGGCTTTGCCGATAGGATCTAGATCTTTAAGGTCTGGAACACGGTCATGATAAATGAAATCATTATCCTTCTTTGCTGCAGTAAGGGCACGGCTGATTTTGTCAGAAAAATCCTTCACATTGACATATTCATCATAGCGAGAAGCCACATTCTTAATCAGTTCTGCTGCATGCTAAAAATAAACATTTATATAGACAGTGTTTGTTTGAAGATGACTGCTTTTTCTATCAAGCATTTTTAAACTCTCGAAATTCCAGTGCTGTGCTTAGCAAGATAACCTGGAAATTCCATGACAAAACATCTAATAATAAAAGGGGAGGAGCAGACAGCCCAGTATGAGCTGCCAAGGCAGCAAAAGAAAGCTGGGGGTCAATCAACACACCCCGACATTAATGAGGACTGCATGTTATTTCCACAAGCTGCACAACTATTAACAGTAATTAAGAAGTTCTGAGGGCCTTTATGGAGCCCTCGGATGAGAGTCTGGAAACCACAGACATCAGCGACCAGAGATACACCTCTCCATGCCTCTCCCATGAGCAGAACCTGAAGTAGCCGTCCTCTCAGTGAAATGGTGGAACTCGCCAAGAGTTATTCCACAACACAGGAAATCAATCAGCCAAGGAAGGAAAAAAGACGGTACAAACATAAGAATTGTAAGGGGGCTGGAGAGATGGCTCAAAGGTTAAGAACACTGACTGCTCTTCCAGATGTCCTTAGTTCAATTCCCAGCAACCACATGGTGGCTCACAACCATCTACAATGAGATCTGGTGCCCTCTTCTGGCATGCAGTCATACATGGAGGCAGCACACTGTATTGTATAGATAATAAATAAAATCTTTAAAAAAAGGATTGTCATGGAGAAGTGTGGTGTGGTGGCGCAGGCCATTAATCCCAGCATTGGAGAGGCAGAAGCAGGTGTTATCTCTGTGAGTTTAAGGCCAGTCTGGTCTATGTATTGAATTCCAGGACAGCCAGGGCTATCTATATAGAGAAACAGAGAAACCTCAAGACACCAAAGCAGCAAAAAGAAAAAAAAAGAAAAAGAAAAAAAGAATTTCAGAGGTGGTCTTGAGCAATGACTGGGGGATTAAAAACACTAAACAGGTCTTGCAGAGGGCCTGGGTTCAATTCCCAGCATGCACATACAGCTCAAAACAACAAGTAACTCTAGTTCCAGAGGGAATTCAATGCCTCCTGCTGATCACTGACATTGCATGCACATGGTGCACATACAAACAAAACATTATACATAAAAAATTTTTAAAAATCAATTGTAAGATATAAAATGAGTAGATGTTTTGCCACCTGCCATTATAGGATACAAAACTTCTTAGTTCTGTATGTAAGACACTAGCCATATAAGATAATTCAGTCCATATCAAAATAGATTATAATACCCCTGATCAAACAATACCTGAACTAAAAAAATAAATGAAATGTGAACAGCACCACGGTGTAATTTTCCAGAACTTTGAGCTCCGTGTTAGAAACATAACACGTTATCGCATAAATCTGACACACGATAAGATATAGCAAGTCAAACACCAAAATCTCATTAGAAAAAAAAACGATCTGAGCTAGACAGTGGTGGCACATGCCTTTAATCCCAGCACTTAGGAGACAGAGACAGGCAGATATCTCTCTCTCTCTCTCTCTCTCTCTCTCTCTCTCTCTCTCTCTCTCTCTCTGTGTGTGTGTGTGTGTGTGAGTGTGTGTGTGTGTGTGTGAGAGAGAGAGAGAGAGAGACAGACAGACAGACAGACAGACAGACAGACAGACACTTGTGAGGGAACATGGAAACCCAGCTTCTTTCCTGTTCTTTTGTTTTGTTTTTCGAGACAGGGTTTCTCTGTAGTTTTGGAGCCTGTCCTGGAACTAGCTCTTGGAGACCAGGCTGTCCTCAAACTCACAGAGATCCGCCTGTTGCATGTTGCTTTAACCATGTGGTCCTTAGGGACCTGAATTCAGGCCATCAGGCTTTTTTAGCTGATCATGACTATCAGCTGAACCATCTTACTGGTCCTGTGTTCCTGCTTCTAACTTTGATAGATCAGTGGATAGATGGATGGATGGATGGATGGATGGATGGATGGATGGATGGATGGATGGATGGTAGAAAAACAAAAATATTAGAAATAAAAAATCCAGTAAATCAAATAAAACACTAGAAGCATCACCAACAGAAGATAGAGTGGTCATTCACCATGCACAAGGCCCTAGGTTGAATCTCCAGCATCAAATAACAAAGTGCACTGCTGTGGTTCTAGCACTGAGGAGGCTGAGGTAACATCAGGAATTCAAAGCTAAACAATGTGACAGCTACACAGTGAGATACTGGTTCAAAAAAAAAAAAAAGCCAGGAATAAAAGATGATGAGAGCATATCTGTACCCTAGCATTCAAGATCCAAGAAAATCCCAAGTTTGAAGCCAGTCTAGGCTACACAGGAAAATTCTGTCTTGAAAACAAACAAACCTGCAAATACAAATAGTCACTGAAGCTAAGTAATGGATACTTGTTAACTCATACTTCTAATTTGTGAGATTTTTCATGACAGTTAAAATTTGGCAGTAGTAAAATATACCTAGACCCTCAGCACTCAGGAGACTGGAGAAGGAAGATCAGGAGTGTGAAGCCAGTCTGGTCATAAAGTGTGGTGGTTTGAATGTAAATGGCCCTCAAAGCGTGTGGCATTAATGGGAGGTGTGGCCTTGTTGGAGTAGGTGTAGTCTTGTTGGAGAAAGTGTGTCACTGTGGAGGCGGACTTTGAGGTCTCCTATATGTTCAAGCTATGCCTAGTTCACTTCCTGTTGACTGCAGGATGTAGAACTCTGAGCTACCTCTTCAGCACCATGTCAGCGAGCATGCAGTCATCCCACCATGATGATAATGAACCTCTGAACTGTAAACCACTCAATTAAACATTTTCCTTTATAAACTTTGCCATGGTCATGGTATCTCTTCACAGCCTTAGAAATCCTAAGACACACACACACATACACACAGATACACACACACACAGACCCACTATATACCCACAGTGTAGAAGGAAAAGAACCACACAATGAAAAGACCAGAGTACATGACACCACATCTTTCTCAAACTGTGGAGCTATGATCTCCAGTTTATAAACCTACACCACAAGTTAAGCAGTACATATCTTCCTGGGACATGACAATTAATTTAGAATATTTTTACAATAAATAAACACAAATAAATAAGGGAATATAATATAAATTGTAAATGCAATATTTAGATACCTGTAAGAGTTTGCAAAACATGCTTGTAGGTATAAGGATGAAAACTACCACTTGCCTCTGCTGATAAAGGCAAGGAACAGGAAGTGTTTATGGGCAAACTGGGTCTCATTAGGCAGAAATGGGAGAAGGATGTCACCTAAACATTTATCACCAAGAGACTCACCTGCAACCTTGCAATCTCTTCCCCAAACTTCTTCTGTTGCTTGGCCAGGATGGACTGGTGGTACTCAGCATTGGCCTGCATAATACACTGCTTGGCAGCCAGGGTGGGAAATACCTCCTGGAAATAAAAATACTGACCAGGGAGAGTCCAACCACACAAACCACCACAGACAACAGGATGCAGGAAGAGAAAGGAGAGGAGACAGAAATTACAATCACCCAGTAATGGTTTAGATAGGTTAGTCATTAGGTGTGAGCAGAGAAGACCTTGTGGTTTTGCAGGAAGTACCATCTATGAATTCAATTTTCTTTCAGTTAAAATTAGGGTTTGTTTATTGTTTGTTGTTTTAAACTGTTAAGTAAAGCTTTTTTAAAGTTCATTCTATGGAGTCAGGAAATAAGCATTTTGTTTACAAGGAAGATAGGAAGGCATGCATGAGTTGGGAAGTTCATGGAGGAATACTAAGCCCAGCTTTAGAAACTTCCTTAGCCCTTACCCAGCCCTCAGGTACCTACACCACCGTTACTCACATATACTAATGAAACTGCTCTAGAGCTGACTGTTTCGTCATGTTTAAAAGACAAAAGACAGTAAAGTTAAGTCCTCAGTTAAATTCTTATGCTGAGAGACTGTAAAAAAAAGATTATGGTAGCCAATAAAAAAAAATCATTTAATAGCATATAAATATTAACATTTCAGTATTATCTACTCAAAAATACATCCCAGACATACAACTGATTATAAAGTGTAAATTTGCCCTAATTTATTTTTAAAATAACTATAGTCTAATATACTTAAATCCAAACACATAACCAAGAAAGTCACTATATTGGTAGGAACTCTTCCAAAACAATCAAGTCCCATCCTGCAACCTCACTGCTTTTCTGAAGTATATGGTATTTTTTAAAACCCAATAATTGTTATATCAATTATAGATAATTGTTATATCAAGAATCTAATGACTACCATGAGTGTTTCCTGTCTGCTAAGAAAAACCAGCACTGAACCACTACTTACAAACATCCAATCAGAACTAGAACTGAGTTGCTGCTTACGGACATCTAGTCAGAACTGGATGCGAAAATACCTCAGGAGACTTAGTGAAAGGAGAAATTCAAACACACTGTAGTCCGAAACTGTCCGTACTCAAGGAAGGCTGGAGCATCTCAGTAAAGATGTTCCAAGAAGACCCAGGAATGCTGCAGACATGGCTTTCAAGCCTTTGAGATAACAGGGCTGTGACAGGACTGACTTACTGATGTGGCAGGATATGACAGTGCACTGTAAAGCTATATATGGAAAGAGGTTCTGGATACCACAAGGGTCCTGGGCAAACTTCATAACACTGGAGGAAGGGAACAGTGGCAGTGCTATGGATGGGATGGATGGGACCCACAGAGTCTTAGGTGCTAGCTAGGCAAGTGCTCAACAATGATCTCAAGCCCAGTGTGCCTGAAGCCCATAGATCTCGATATTAATTCTCCACTGCTCATGTACTATTGGGTACCTTCCATCTATTTCAAACTGTACCCTATGTTCTCTGAGGTTTCAAAATGTACAAAGATCCCTGAATAACATAAACTCACAGATTCTCCTACAAATATCACTTACTAACACAAATAACCAATTCTTTGTCCAGCTGTGAGAAAGTGCAGTTAAAACGTCCTTCAAGCCAGGTGGTGGTGGCACACACCTTTAATCCCAGTACTTGGGAGGCAAAGGAAGGTAGACAGATCTCTGTGAGTTCGAGGCCAGCCTGGTCTACATAGGGAGTTCCAGGACAGTCAGCACTACACAGAGAAGCCCTATCTTGAAAAACCAAAAAGGAAAAAAAAAAGTCCTTCTTGCTGGTGTTCAATGCTCTACTTTAAGAACTCCAGCTCTATCAGCCCGGCGGTCACATGCTCTGTCATTTACAAGACATGGCTGGACAGTCTTCCCATTACCCCTTCAGAAAAGCTTACATTGCAACAATGCTTCCTGCGGTTTGTGGTCAGGATGGCTGCTTTTCCTTAGCTGCCCATTAGCAGCGAAATGTCCTATACCTGTTGGTAAAACTTAATTCTAATCAAAGAATGGGATGAATTTAGGTTTCCTTTTCCTTTTTTCTTTACGTCTGTTTTTGCGCTTTAAGGCTCATCCTTAAGAAAATAGGACAACGATTAAAAATGTGAGTCATTGACATGCTTCACACCATGCTTCTTCCAAAACGTCAACAATCGGGGTGATGAAATGACTGAGGACAGATGAGCAGCATTTCCCAGAAAGAGTTTTAGCTCAGAGAAATAAACTTAGTGAAGAGTAAAATAGAAAGGCATCCCATAAAAGAACAATTCATGCATCTTACAACGTAAGAAAACATTCTAAATCTACCCTTCAAAGGTTCCATTAAAATACCAGATCTCTTTGTTGAAACATACTTTTCAACCTTTTCCTCACACATAACAATATTCCCACATGCAAAATAACCAAGTGTCAATGAAGACAATAGCTGACCTTGGGTAGAGTGTCTTTGTACTGACACTGTTTGAAGGCATCACCAAAGTAATCCGCAGCCTGGTTTGCCAGCTTAGCTATGATGGCATCTTTCATTTTATCTGAAATAAAATGTTAAATGATCATTGTAACTGAGGTACATGAGACAAGTGCCAGCAAAAAAAAAACTCAGCAGGGGAACGTGCATACACACTGCACTACTTTGATAGCCTGCATTCCATCACAGGACTCACAGTGGAAGGAGAGAACCAACTCCTCAAAGTTGCCCTCTGACCTCCACAGAAGCATCATGGTACACATGTGCCTGCATTCACTCCCCCCCACCCCCCACACACACATACAAACTAAAATAATAAAGTAAATAAGATAACCTGATACATGACTTGGCATAGACACTGAAATTTAAAAAAAAAAGAAAATGTGTACACCCAGGACTGGAGCAATGGCTCAGCAGTTAAGAGCACAGGCTGCTTCTCCAGAGAGCCCACAGCAGCTTACACTTTTCTAATTCCTGTTCTGGGGAATCCAATGCCCTCTTTTGGGCTTCAACGATATCAAAAGGCACACAACTGGTGCACATACACACAGCAACCACATATCCACACATATTTAAAAGAAAAAAAGACAAAAGAAAAATTTATATATGTCTAAAGAAATCCATATTGATGAAATTTAGTCTTCTGCACAAAAACTATTTCACAGGTAGCAAAACATGATGATGTAAGCCTATATAACCCTAGTACTTTGGGCCTAAACCCAGAGGATCAAATATTCAAAGCTGTCCTTAGCTACATAGCAAGTTCCAAGCCAGCCCAGGCTACATATGCCTATTTTGAAATAAATAAATAAACAATTCCATAAACGAGGCAAAGCCACAGCAATAGGTAATGGCTACTGGCAGTTGAAGCAGAAGGAAGGAAGTGAACCTGACATTAGAGTTATTCTTGGGTGTGGTGAAATCTTAACATAAGGCAGTGGTGACTATCAAGTTCTGTGAATACTCCAGAAAGCACTGCATTATAAAGTCAAAAGGGGAATTCTGAGTTGGTGTGGGAAAGTCCTTCTGTCTATGTGTTGTTTTTATTGGTTAATGAATAAAGAATCTGTTTCGACCAATGACTTAGCAGGGCAGAACAGAGATAGGTGGAGAAAACTAAACTGAATGCTGAGAGAAGGAAGGTGGAGTCACTGAGACACCAGGTAGCCACTGCTGGGAACAGACAAGCCAGAACCTTGCAAGTAAGCCACTGCCACGTGGTGATATACAGATTAATAGAAATGGGTTAAATTAAGATGTAAGAGCCAATAACAAGCTAGAGCTAATAGGCCAAGCAGTGATTTATATAATACAGTTTCTGTGTGGTTATTTCGGGGTTGAGCAGCCAGGAACAAATAAGTGGCCTCCTACAACACTGAGTTATATGTCTTCTATCTCCACATAAGCTGCTTCTCATTTCCCTCCCCAACCCCATGATTTTTTGAAGTAGTCTCACTCTGTAGCCCAAATGGCCTCCAACTTAGCCTAAATCTAACTCCTATGACTATAGGTATGAGTCACCACATACAGAATTTTTGGGGTGTGTTTGTTTGTTTGTGACAAGGTTTCACTGTTGCCAGGTTAATCTGACAGTCACTAGGAAACCTAGCATTGCTTCAGTATCTTGGCAATCCCCCTGTATCAGCCTCCCAAGTGTAGGGATTACAGGTATGAGCCACCACACCCAAGTTGTCATTTTAAGAAAAAAAAAAATAAGTTGTGTTTATGCTGCTTCCACATTTTCGATTTCTCTGTACTCAGACATTCAGTCTGTATCCCTCACATTGTCTTACATACCTTTACAAGGATTGTCCTTATGCCCTAGTCACCAAGGATATTGCCTGAATAGCTTTTTGTCATTTAAGTGTAGTATAAACAGGATGACCTTAAAGAAATCCTTCTTGATGGCTCAATGATTAAGAGTACTTGCTGCTCAATCATGAAGACCAGAGTTCAAATCCCAACACCCATATCAAGCAGCTCACAATGCCTGTGACTCCAGAATCGGGGGACCCATGCCCTTTTCTCACCTGTAGGGCACAGACACCTGCATATACACTTAAATCAAACCTTAAAAGAAATCATTGGTCTCCCCATAGCCATCCCACAACCACACCACCAGCCACTGCCACATGAAGGAAGCATTCTACCTTCCTCCAGGCAACTCTCCCTTGGCAGTGAGCTTGACTACTCAATGACCCAATCACTATCTAGGCATAAAAGTCTAGCACTTGTTTTCACATGTAACACAGTAAAGAAGAAACTGAAGTTACCTCGTGTGGCTTTTAAGAAAAATACTTCTTGAGCTTGGGCCAGCATAATAAGACTGAGGGTCCCAACAGTATCTGGAGATATGTCCACAGTAGGTTCTCGACTTAAGGCAGATAAAACTGTGTCTTTAATATGTAAAAAGGCACCACTAGCAAACTAGAAGGAGAGAAAAAAAATCTTTAACATTGAAACTAAATTTTCTACTGTTACACACAAACATCTACAAGCCAACTGAGAAAATGATAAGGTAACTACACGCACATTTCTATACTGTGATCTAAAGCATCTCATTCACAGACAAGGGCCTTACCATGATTCTAGGGCAACAAAAAGTTTATCAAAGATTCACAGGTGACAACAGGGAAGAGTAAAGTAAGAGAATGGCAAAAGGTAATCAAGGTTAACTTAGTAGACACACTTCTTTAAAACTTACCCAAGAACAGATGAAGAGATAAAAGACTATTCAAATGGCTACGTGTGTACACAGTGTGTGTGCATGCGTGTGTGTGTGTGTGTGTGTGTGTGTGTGTGTGTGTGTGTGTGTGTAGGCCAGAGGACAATCCCAGATGTCGTCCTCAGGACCACTGCCCACTTCCTTTGAGACAGGGCCTCTCATTGGTCCAGAGCTCACCCATGAGGCTAGACTGGCTGGTCAGTAAGGCCTAGGGAATGCATTATAAGCGTATACCTCCAAGCCCAGCATTGACTGTATAGATTTTGGGGATCGAACTCAAGTGAGCTTACAAGGCAACTGCTTTCATTATTGACTGAAACATTCCTTCAGCCTCTACTTGTTTGTTTTCAGTACAAAAATGTTCTTGCTTTTTATCCCAAACAAAATCATCTTTCAAATAAGCATACTGGGCTTAGGGGACACCCCAAATGGCACACTCTGAGGTCCAGCAATGCCACTGACAGACATTTCCTGGCCTTCAGAACTTCCTAGTGAAATGTACCCCTTTACATTTTTCTTCCCAAATTTTATTTTGGGGTTACTACTAAAATTACTTTATAAGCTGAGAAAAAAGGAAAAAGTCAAGTCAATCTGGGATCTTAGAGTGAGTTAAATTGGTAAGATAATGCAAACCTCAAAGTCACTGTGTTAACAAGACTATCATGGGATCAGCAAGATGGCTCAGTATGGAAAGGTGCCTGTCACCAATCCTGACATCCTGAGCTCAAGCCACAGGACCCACATGGTGAAAGGAGAAACCAGTTCTCACAAGTTGTCCTCTGACCTCCACACACATGCTCAACCATACCAATATACACACACACAAACACACACACACACACAGTTTTTAAATTTAACATTTTAAAAAAAGATATGACATTGTTCTTATCTTTGAAACAAAAAATAAACTAAAAGTGAGTAAATGATAAAGTGGCAGGAAACAGCATGCCGTATGAGCCAATGAGCAGTCCCTAAGATAGTAAGCTATCCTAAGAGCAGTCCAGGCCTGACCACATTTAAACACAACTTCTCCAGAGTCTACACGTAACTTAGTTTTTTGTCAAAAGATCTTAATTTTGCCATACCACTGAAATTGCGGGTGTGCTTCGCCCTGAGAAAACGCGCACACAAATGTCTAACCATTTTGACTAAAGTCATTTAAGAGGTTTTCTACAAATGTATGGCATTCGCCTACACATTTCATCTTTGCTGTCCAATCAACATTCATTGAGCCTCTATTATGTGCCAGGCACTGTGCTAGGTGCTGGTGTGAGTACAGAGAGGAAAACAGACACGGGCACTAGAACAAGGGCTGCAGGGCTGAAGAGTTTACCCAAGGACTCAACGAGGATCAGGTTACTGAAGAGCACAACTTTCCCGGAGCAACCGTCATGAGGAAGGCAACAGCTATCATCTAAATGCCATCACCCCTTGCATCCAGTGCGCATCCCTGTGTAGGAACTGCTTTTCTGCATACCTGGTACTGCTTAGCAGCGGTTTTCAATCCTTCATCATTATCCAGGTTCTGCTCTTGTGCAATCTGGCTAGCTAAGGCAGCACAATTGAACAACACACAGCTCTTTTCATATCCTAAGCTTGCAAGAGCTGTAAAAAAAATTGAGAAGAAAAAATGTATCAGATTATTTTTTTTCTAAAGAAAACAATATTTAATGAGAAATATCATGGCCTCTATCCCAGGGGCTCTCCGAAGACCTTCCCTCTCACCTACTGCAGACCGGCTGCCATATTCCCACATTATACTCATCAAAAACTCAAAAGAAGAATAAATTATTCTTTCTCTCCTTCTCTTCGTTCCCACATTTTTACTACAGTCAGGTTCAAAATGTAAACCTTATCTTTATGTTATTTCTCACTTAATTACTTAAATTCAAATAAATCATTTCCAATTTTTTATGACCTCTCAAATTTTTATCTTCCCCCCCACAATGCATGCATATGCACACATGCACACACATGTACACACACCAGTCTTTACATCAACTTAAGCATACCAGTGCTTTTTTGATGGTCTTCCAGATCCCCCTTTCTCTGATGAAAAATCCACACAACCCACATCTATCAACACAGCTAATTAACTTTTAAAAAGAAATGAACAAGAAATGACAGAGATAAACTGCAACTTTTTCTTGAAGGAATACAAAATGCTGCAGGTCTATAGGAAATTATGTGTAGGTCCTCAAAACCTTAAAATGATTCTTATGACCCCAAAACTCCTCCAGGGCATATGCAAAAAGAGCTGAATGCAGAATCTCATGGGGGAATTTCTGCACTTATGTTCAAAATAGCAACCTGAGGGAGCATCAACCAAAGGATGTATAAACAAAATGACGTATAAACAGTCAATAAAGTATTTACTAGTCAACTTCCAAGAAAGGAACCTAATGTAAGACAAATCTTGAGGACATTACACTAAGTGCAATAAGCAATCATGAAAGGCTAGGATTCCACTTACAGGAAATACTTAAAGGAGTCAAAGTCTTAGAGAAATAACAGAGATAAACTGCAACTTTTACTTGAAGGAATACAAAATGCTGCAGGTCTATAGGAAATAATGTGTCGGTCCTCAAAACCTTAAAATGATTCTTATGACCCAGAAACCCTTCCAGGGCATATGCAAAAAGAGCTGAATGCAGTACAAAGACAGTGGATACCAAAGATGGGGCCAAAAGGCTGTTGTTTAGTGAATTAAAGCACTTTTGCAGAGTTGTTAATGATGTGATGTACCCTTGCACTACTAAAAACCACATACTTCAAAATGGTTAAAAGGTAATCTCATGCATTGTGCGTCTTACAACATCTTAAAAAGAAGACATGTAAGTCTACTTACATGCAGTACTTAGGACAGTGAGATTCAAAAACAAGAGGACTAACATGTCTGCCAGAAGCTGACAGAAGAGACACTGATCACCAAGGCAAACACTCAGAAGGCTGTCTACACAGAACAGTACACATTCCATCTCAAAGAACCAGAGCAAAAGACAGCTGTTTACTCCACACAGTAGGGCCAGGAAGTAGCTGGCACCTCTCTAAAAGCACCCAGTTCTCTACTTGTTCCCAAACCCATCATGATCTCCTCACTCACTCACTCAGCAGACACACCAATTGCTCTAATCTGCATTCTAAATAACTACAAGAAAACAAGGTAACATGAAAAAGGCAAATAGTATGCGGAGGTCCCGAGAGAAACAGATGACCAAGGAACAATGGTGGTGTGCACCTGTACTCCCAGCATTCTGGGAAACATTCAGGGCTTCCGAGTCCTCCTTGGCTAAATAAGGAGATCAAGTCAGCCTAGACTACATAAGATACTATCTCAAAAAACAAAGGTAACTAAAAACTGAGCCCAGAATAAATGTAGACAATTTCAACAAGTCAAAGATCCATGCTAACATCCTTAAAGAAACCTTAAGGCTATACATGCATAAAACAGTATACACAGTTACTGCTGTTGTCATTTTAGGGTACCAAGGCTGGCCAAGAACTCTACGTAGCCAAGGCCAAGTTAAAATTGATAAACCTGCCTCCCCATCCCAAGTTCTGGGGCTACAGAATGGTGGTAACTTTAACATGCCCGCCCCCCTAACTGTGCTAGTAAGAAACCAAGTGTCGGGACCACTGGACAGCATCACCTTGAAAACACTTCAACATTCAATTCCATGGAGAATGCTTCTTCCTGGTCCTCCATGGTCCAAACACTTTTTCTCAACTTCACCCGAGCTCTAGAATTTATATGATTTTCCCTATAATCTGTCAAAGGTGAATGGATTTTATCCATGAGTAACGGTTAGCAAATCTAGATCTCCTCACTCGCTCTCTCTCATCTGAGTTTTAAATCTACTATTTCCAAATGTCAGAGAAATCTTACACAGAGGTAACTGAGAAACCAAACTCAACCTATCAAAAACTAAATATCCAGCAGATCAAATCTCAGACTCTTAGCTCCTCCTCATCTCTCTGACGGGAAGTAAAACCAGTCAATTTCACCGCCCAGAATTCCTTCCAAGCCCAACTTTCTCTGACCATACCCACTACCTAATCTAGACTCATCATCTCTCACAGATCTCTCAAATGATCTGTTTCTCTAGTCCTAGAGGCAGGCTCTCTGCATTCCCATCTCAGCTCCTTTCAGCCCTAGCTACACACCCTCCACAAGTCACTTAACCTTTCCAAGCCAATATACTCAACCAGCAATGAAAGTGTCTTTCCTTATTGCATTTCTGGAGAATTCAGTAACATACTAGATAGGAAACCTGAGTAAGTAACAGTAATGACTGGCTCTTAATATGTAAGTGGGAAAGTAAAATTCAAGAGCACATTTGCACCTCTTTACAGTCTATGCTCCATTACAATTGCTTTCCTAAATCCAATTCAATCTATGGTTTCAAGCCATAACAATAATTATTACATTGATCACATCTTATATAGAACATATATAATATTTTACAATATTCCTATTTTCTCACCTATACATAAACACATATATTTACTTAAGTGTATCTACGTGCATACCATATACACACACACTTATATTAAGATATTTAGTCTATGCTATATCTTTTTGTTTGTTTGCTTTTTATTTGAGACAAAGTTTCTCTGCGTAGCCCTGGCTGTCCTGAAACTCACTATATAAACCAAGCTGGCCTCGAACTCAGAGATTCACATGTCTCTGCCTCCCAAGTGCTGAGATTAAAGGTGTCCGACACCACACCCCATGCTGTTAGATCTTACATAAGGTATATCTACTATGTAAGAAATATACACATCATATGATATTTTTATAAAATATGGGCATCATATAATGTGTATACAAATATACTATAGTTTATACAAAGTAACAGCATGATTATTTATTATTCATTGCAGTTAATACTTAATGAACACTGTTTAAAGACTTTAAATGTTTTCACTCTTTTATCCTACACAGTAACTCCATGAAATAAATACTATTTCCACTTTTCAGATGAGGAAATTAAGGCTTGTGCTGTCTGATCAAAATGCCTTCACTTTCTGACCTTGGTTATGATGTTTGTACAAACTCATCCTTCAAGACCTAACTTGTTGCTTGCTTTCTGCAGGTAGAACTAACTTCTTCCTCATCTATGCTCCCATGAGATCTTACAGCCATGCCTCAACGGCTTCCTGTTCTGAGAAATGAGCCGCTAAGCACTTTGTTGTTGTGCATGTAGTTACACAAAGTAAGACAGGTACAATACCACCAGACAACAATCGTATGTGGCCACCATCATACATGTAGTCTCTCATGGATCAAAACATCATCCCATGGTGCATCCTACATGAATGTACACATAGTACATTTCAATGAGATAACTGTCTTCACAACCAAACTGAATACAGCTGCCTTATGTATCTTTGTAACTAGGACAGTGCCTGGCAAGGCATGGGCTCTGCAAATATTTTGAAATTACACTGGATTAGAAGTTGAAGCTAAAAATAAAATGAAATCTTTAAAAAACAAAACTTTAGTAATCACAAGGAATTAGGAGAGCAACTTTAAAAAATCTAAAAGCAGTAAAAATGCTCAGGTCAAGTCTATAATTTTTATTAAAAATTACATACCCAATTTTACAGATCCTCCAAACAAGGAACCTTTATCAAAAGCATCCTTCCACGTAAATGTCAAGCAGATCTAGAATGAATGAGAGGAAACAAAAACTTCTATTACCACCTTGGACCTTGTTAAATACTGAAGAAAATCCAAGAAGGGGAAGGACAGAGTTCCTTGTGCAGCTGTCACCTCTAAACAATGACCCCCTTTCCTTCTTAAGGACATTTATTTTCCATGTAAAACACTAGCAGTAAGATATTTCAAAACATCATTCTATGTGGTCTTTATAAACAAAGGCAAGCAAAGGAGAAAAAGCGCTGCAAGTTTTCCTGGTGGACAAAACTGAAAAGCACTGTTACAAAAGTAGGAAAAATGGGCTGGTGAGACAGCTCAGCAGGTAGAGAGCTTGTTCCACAATCATTACAAGCTGAGTTCAATCCCTGGAACCAACAGAGTTGTCTCTGACCTCCACGAGCAGGACCATGGCACACACTCATACACATCACATACACACATATAATAAACACACCCTCTTTTTAATAATATTCTTTTTAATAATAAGGTTTCATTATTTAACCCTGTGTAAAGAGGCCCTATCTCGAAGAGGAGAGGGAGTGGGGGGAGTGGGAGGGTGTTGGGAGGAGGGGCGAAAATGGAAACTTTTATATTTTAATAAAAAAAAAAAGAAAAAAAAAGAGACCCTATCTCAACCCTCCACCCCCTCAAAAAACTAAAAACAAAAAGTCCAGGGGAAATAAGCACATTATTTCCATCTATAAGCAGATCCCATTGGTATAAGATACAAATTAACACTCTGGACTGAGGAAAACAAGAAGAGAATTCAGGAGAATCTTCAGAAGGACAAAGATTCACATCAGACAAACCTCAGAAGTTCTAATTTATATAAAACTCCACAAAAGACCAAACATAGTAAAGACACATCATTATCTTCAATGAAACAGTATCCTAGGTGGGAAGAAATGGGTGACCTGTCATCACCACACAACTTTATAATAAAATTAATAGTTTACCTGATTTTCAGAAAATGGGAACTTGGGTTCAATAGAACAAATCTGATCATAATATCTAAAAAAAAAGAAAGATTAATTATTAGCAGGGTATGATATGAACTTATATAAGTCCAATTGCTTTATATATTTATATATATGTATATATACACACATATGTGTATGTATATATGTATACATATATATATATATATATATATATATATATATATATATATATGAGCTGGAGAGATGGCTCAGCAGTTAAGAGTACTGGCTGCCCTTCAGAGGACTGGGGGGTTCAACCCAAAACACTCATGGTGGCTCCCAACCATTTGTAACTCTATTTCCAGATTTCTGGACTCTGGCATTCTCTTCTGGCCTCTGTGGGAACCAGGAATGCATATGGTACACATACATGCAGGAAAAACACCCATACACATAAAACTAAAATAATAATTTTTTTTAAAGAATACACCAAAACTACTTGTGGCGGTTTAAATGAAATGGCCCCAAAGGCTCACAGATTTGAATGTCTTGTCATTAAGGAGTGGTACTACTTGAAAGGAATCAGGAGGTGGGACCTTGTTGGAGTAGGAGTGGCCTTCTTGGAGGAAATGTGTCACTGGGGTTTCAAAAGCTCGAGTCAGTGCCAGTATCTCTCTTCCTGCTGCCTGTGGATCTGGATGGAGAACTCTCAGTCAGCTACCTCTCCAGCACCATGTTGTCTGCTTGCTGCCATACTTCTCGCCATGATAATAATGAACTAAACCTCTGAAACTAAGCAATCCTCAGTTAAATGTTTTCTGCAATAAGAGCTGCAATGGTCACAGTGTCTCTTCACAGCAATTCAATACCAAGACACTATTTGTCCCCAACTACAGTGGCCCACAAACCCAATTTAATCATTTGTTTTAAAGTTACTAAACACAGTCCTTTAACAATTAAGCCACAGACTAAATTGCACAATAAAGAACTACACAAAAAATGAAAAGGAATACTTGTAGGATGGAGGCAGCTTGTTTGTACCAGATGCCCAGAACCAAAATAACCACACAGAAACTGTATTAATTAAATCACTGCTTGGCCTATTAGCTCTAACTTATTATTGGCTAACTCTTACAACTTAATTTAACCCAACTCCATTAATCTGTGCATCACCACGAGGTCATGGCTTACCAGCCAAATTCTAGCATGTCTATCTCTGGAGGTGGATTCATGGCATCCTCTGACTCCACCCTTCTTTCTCCCAACATTCAGTCCAGTTTCCTCACCTACCTAAGTTCTGCCCTATCAACAGGCCAAGGCAGTTTCTTTATTAGCCAATGAAAGCAACACATAGGCAGACGGACCTTCTACACCAGATATTCATCACCACAGATATTCATCTAGTATTATAGAGTAAAAGGAAATAAACACATATTTGAAAACTTTTGAATTTTTTTTCCAGTTTTTCAAGACTGTGTTTCTCTGTGTAGCCTTGGCTGTCCTGGAACTCACTCTGTAGAGCAGGCTGGCTTCAAACTCACAGAGATCCTCCTGCCTCTACCTCTCAGGTACTAGGATTAAAGGCGTGTGCCACCACCACCCAACAATTTTGTATTTCTTAAAATATTTTGTTAAGATCACAATGTTTGGTCTGGTGTGACAATTCACAGCTTTAATCCCAGTACTGGGGAGACAGAAGCATTGGCCAGCCTTGTCTACACAGCAAATTCTAGAACAACCATGGTTTTACAGAAAGAGCCTGTCTCAAAATTTAAAAAAAGGTTGACTAAGTCTATGTCTATTGGACACATTTGCATAGCTGGTCAAATGATTAACAACAGATCTACCAACTTTCAGACATTTTTAGGTATGTCCATCACAAAGACACACAGTTCCCAAAACTCACAAAGCACATCCAATGCAAGCATGTCAATCTAACAACCTTCTTTCTTGTTCATTACAGTATATGTTCTATACAGTAGCCAACATTTCACATAACGAAGCAAACTGACCCATGCCCAAGACATTGCTCAGGGTGAGCTGCTAGCCAGCAATCAGAGGATGAAGAAAGGGTCAAAGTTATGCTTTCTGACTGGACATCTACCGTCATGTATTCCTGTCTACACACCCCCATCTTCATCATGACTAACTTTCCCATGATTATTTCTGGGGGAAAGTTTCAAGAAGGCAGGCCAGAGAGGCAGAAAGCAGCATGTCTGGCTGCAAACTGAAAGAACTAAGCCATTATGTAAACACATATGAAAGCTAATGGGAGTCAGTTATCTCACTGTCAGAAGAAAGAATCATAAATACTAGAAGAGGCAGGGCTGGAACAAACTGAAGCCTAGACTGGCCTAGTGTAAGCAGAGACTGCTCTTTTGTTTCCCTACCATTCAGGCCCAAATAATCACACAGAAACTATATTAATTACAACACTGCTTGGCCAATAGCTTAGGCTTCTTATTGGTTAGCTCTTATATCTTAAAATAACCCATTTCTATTATTCTGTGTATCTCCATAAGGTTGTGGCTTACCAGGTAAAGTTCTGACATCTGTCTCATTTGGCAGCTACTTGGTGTTTCTCTGACTCTGCCTATTCTCTCTATATATCTCTGTTTGGATTTCCTGCCTAGCTTTACTCTGCTAAGCCATTGGCCAAAACAGCTTCTTTATTAACCAATGGTAATAAAACATATTCACCGTATACAGAGGGGATTCCATATTAGACTAGAAGTATCAATGTGAGTTCATTTTTTTAACATCATAGAGATAAACAAGAACAACTATAAATATGTATTATACATTTCCTAAATATATATGCTGGGAAGGCCTGGGCATAATGACACTTCCCAAGAACAAGAAGCACACATAGCGTCCAGATAAATAATGTCCTGCACTAACAGGAGCCAGCAGTGCTCCTTAGAGAAATGGATGAAATTGGGAAATTAAAGACTCAAGCCAGAAAATGATGAAGACATGAAAATGAAAGACAACAGACAATCCACAAGGAACTAGCTTCAAGAGCTCCAATAGAGTAAGGAAGAGTATAACAAGGAGCTGGGGAGGTAGCTCAGTCATTAAAGTGTTTGTGATGCAAATATGAGGAGAGTTAGATCCCCTACTTGTAACCTCAGCAAGGGACCCTGAAGCTATCTGACCAGCCTAGTTTACTCTACAAGCTTTAAGTCAATGAGAGACTGTCTCAAAATACAAAGTTGAGAGTTGAGGTCAGGAGAGATGGCATAGCAGTTAAGAGTGTTGACTGTTCTTCCAGGGAACTTAGGTTTGATTTAGCACCCACATGGTAGCTCACAAACAACGTCAACTCCAGTTCCAGAGCAGTGAGTGCTCTCTTCTGGTCTCCATGGCAACAAGGCATGAGTGTGATGCACAGACATATATGCACATAAAACACCCATGTCCATAAATAAATAAATAAATGTTATAGAAAAGAAAAATGAATGAGGTGGGTGGTACCAGAAGAATGGCACCCAAGGTTGACTTCTGGCCTCCACATGAATACTCACACATGCACCCACACACTAAGAAAATAAGTCACACTGACAAGTCACAATCCACTGAAGAAAATAACAGTATTCTGAAGTAAATAAACAGGTGGCCAGAAACATCTCTATATACTGTGCATAGCCAACTAATAAGTCTTTTTCCACAGTATAACCTAGTTGTGGTAATATTCATCAATGGATACTAAGAATAATCAAAGCTTTGTATGTACAAATCCCTGGGTTCAATCCCTGACATTATATAAGCTAAAGGCGGTGATGCACAGCTATAATCTCAGCAACAGGGAGATGGAAGGATCTCCCTGAGTCTGAGGCCATAATAAAATAGCAAAAAAGTTTGATGCGCTATCTCTACAAGCACTTAAAGTACAACATAGTAACTGTAAAGCAGTAAACTGGCAAGCAGTGTCTTAACCAAGCAACAGATACCCAAGCTACCATATGGCTAATATGCCCTAAAAGCAGCACTGGTCCACCTGGGCACAAACGACAAAGCCACAAAGCAATCTGAAGAAAACCTTAACAATGGGGGTCAGAAATGGTGACACATTCCTTTAACCAGAGCACTCGGGATCTCTGTGAGTTCAAAACAAGCCTGGCCTATACAGTGAGTTGCAGGACAGCCAGGGATGAATAGAAAGACCTTGTCTCCAGAGGGGGGAGGAAGAAGAGAGAGAGAGAGAGAGAGAGAGAGAGAGAGAGAGAGAGAGAGAGAACACACTTTATCAAGGGACATTCTGCACAGTAACTGTGTTTCTCAAAAATGTCAAGGTCATGGCATGGGCAGGATGCAATCTACTGGCCTAGCATTTTTTTAAAGATTTATTTATTCATGTATTTTATATGAGTGCTGTCTTCATGCACACCAAAAGAGGGAATCTGATTCCATTACAGATGGTTGTGAGTCACCATGTGGCTGCTAGGAATTGAACTCAGGACCTATGGAAAAGCACTGAAGTGCTCTTAACCGTTGAGCCATCTCTAACCTAGAATTTGATTCCTAGTAACCAGAAAAGGAAAGGAAAGCTAAGGCTCAAAAAACAAGAGGAGAACTGTTCAGACCGAAGGCCATTAAAGAGGCATTAGTAACTGAAGCAATGCACTGCAGAAGTCAGACCCTGGACCTGTAAACCTCACTCCTGGAGTATCAGCAAAGCTTAAGTTGGGCAGATTAAATGAAGTCAGCCAGCTTCCTGATTGTCAAAGACATGGCTGGGTTCTATAAGAAAGTATCCTTATTCCTAGGAACAAAATGTTAAGTATGAAAGCCTTTTGATGAACTACTATTGAGGTAGTAAAGGAGATCCCCCATGTCTGAGCCATTTGATCACTTGATTCCCAGTTGATGGTGCTCACTGGAAGGGTTAGGAGGTGTGGCTTTGCTGGAGGAAGTATGTCACTGGGGTGGGCTTTGATGTTTCAAAGCATTTTAGCATTTCTCATATGCTCTCTCCCTGCTTATGGTTCAAGATGTGAGCCTTCCGCTTGCTGCTCCAGCTGCCTTATCTAATGCTTTCCCATGATGGTGAGCTCATTCCTCTAGGGCAGTGGTTCTCAACATTCCTGA